GACCCCGCTGAGCCGTCGGCGGCCCCTCCCCGCTGAACCAGGCATGGAGAACCTCGAAGCCCCAGGGGTTTAAAGGGGGGTGGGGGTTTAGGGTTTAGGGTTTAAGGTTGAGGGTCTAGGTATTAGGGTTTAGGTGGGAGGGGGGGGCTGTCGGGGTTGAAGGGTTATGTTTTCTCTCAGGGCTTACGGGTTTAGGGTTGAGGGGCTTGGGGTTTTAGGGACTTTGGGTTTAGGGTGAATGGGTTTAGGGGTTTTAGGAGTTCGGGTTTAGGGGTTTGGGGGTTGAGAGTTAGGGGATTTAGGGGGTTTGAGGGGTTTAGGGGTTTGAGGGGTTTTGCGGTTTAGGGGTATGGGGGTTTAGGGTGGGAGGTTTAGGGGCTTTAGGGGGTTTGCGGTGTAGGTGGGTTTCGGGCTCCGAGCTGGGGCTCTTTGTCTCAGGCTAGCTAGACTAGTGCTCCAGGAAGATTAGGTATCCGAAGAAAGGAAGCAAGAAAAGCCCTAAACCCTAAACCCTGAACAGTAAACCCTAAACCCTAAACCCTGAACCTCGGGCCCCCAGGTTCAGGCCCTGCGCCCTCAGAATTGAGCCAATGAGGCCATCGACCCTCCAAACTCAACCAGGATGCCGCAGAACCCTAAACCCCTCCTGTCCTAAACCCTAAGCCCTAAGCCCTAAACCCTCAACCCTCAACCTTAAACCCTTACTAAACCACAAAAAGAACCCCATTACCTCAGCCGAGCTGCCACCACGCTGGCCAAGGCCAGCGAGCCAAGGACCGTCCACTCTGCAAGCTCCATGGCCGCTCTATGCGTTAAGGGGCTTTAGGGTTTAGGGTTTAGGGCTCGGGGCTTAGGGTGACTTCGGGTGTGGGCGCTCAACCCTAAACCCTAAACCCTAAACCCTAAACCCTAAACCCGTTTGTTGAGAGACCTCGGCCGGGTAGGGCTGAAGTGGGTTGGGGCAAGCTAGGCTCTTAAAGCCCTGAAACCCAATAAGGGACATATACCCAAACCCTAAACCCTAAACCCTAAACCCTAAACCCTAAACCCTAAACTCTATACCCTAAACTTAAACCCTAAACCCTAAACCCTAAACCCAAGGAGTAGAACCGAAGAGTCTCATGCTTTGAAGAGGTTGCTTTGGGCAGTGACTGCATGACACCCGTGCCTTGAACTTCCGGGATGCAATCGGGTCTGGGGTTCAGGGTTCAGGGTTCAGGGTTCAGGGTTCAGGGTTCAGGGTTCAGGGTTTAGGGTTTAGGGTTTAGGGGTTCAAAGGTTTAGGGTTTCGGGGTTTCGGGTTGCGGGTTGTCGCCTTTGGGGCTTAGGTTTCAGACCCAAATCCGCAAGGCATGGAGGCTCCCAGCAGCCAAAGCTTAGAACCTACACCGCAGGGGTTAACGTTTAGGGTTTGAACGGTTTAGGGTTTAGGGTTTAGGGTTTAGGGTTTAGGGTTTAGGGTTTAGGGTTTAGGGTTTAGGGTTTAGGGTTTATTGAGCCTAGAGGTGACAAAGTCGCGGGACTCTTGCTGAGGCCTTCTGAAAGGGTCTAAGGCTTTAGGACCTTAGTTGCTGAGTTCAGAAGCCCCCCAAAAGTGCACACTTTAGTTTTGTAGAGAGCATCGTATCCCAAAAAAAAAAAAGTACTCACTCAGCTACTAAGGGACTTAGATAGCGCAATGGAACTTGAAACCCTAAACCCATAAACCCTAAACCCTAAACCCGAACCCCTAATTAAACCCTAAATCCTCACCTCCTGCTTTTGGAAAACCGGTGCATCGTAAGGTCTTCGGCTTAGGTTGCTAGGCTTTCATAGGGTTTCCCAAAGACCCCAATACCCCTTATTTAGGGAATATTCCTTAACTTATATTAAGGATCCCTTTATCGATTGAGGCATATCCCTTAATTAAATTCAAAGGGTTTCATAGGGTCTTAGGGTTTGGGGTTAAGGCCCCTACGCTCAGAAACCTTGCAAGGGGACATTCTTCTGGATCCGAAGGTCTGAACCGCCTTCCTTTTAGGGCTTAGGGTTTAGGGTTTAGGGTTCAGGGTTGAGGGTTTAGGGTTTAGGGATCAAGTACCAAAGCCGGACACAAAACAAATCAATGAGCATCGCATTTGGATCCTGATTCTTAGTACCTAAGTGTGTGGTTAGAAGATGCTAGAAGAACTACAGTACAAGAGGTGCCTCAAACAGGAGATAACAACAATTGGGGCGGGCGGGGGAGGGGGGCCCGGGGAGGGGGCGCGTTCATCCCCAAACTTTAACCCCTGAACCCCCTGAACCCCCTAAACCCTAAACTCCAAACCCTAAACCCTAAACCCTAAACCCTAAACTCCAAACCCTAAACCCTAAACCCTAAACCCTAAACCCTGAACCCTGAGGCCCTCATAGGTGCCCCCCAGTCTGTCAGAGGGCCCGGACGCCCTGGTAGACGTACTCCCACGTCGGCAGCTCCTCCCCCTCCAGCATGAGTTCCATGGGTAGCTTCCTCATGGCATCATGAGCTGGGTTTAGGGTTTAGGGTTTAGGGTTTAGGGGTTAGGGTTTAGGGTTTAGGGTTTAGGGTTTAGAGTTCAGGGTTTAGGGTTTAGGGTTTAGGACTTCTGGGGGTTCAGGGTTTAGGGTTTAGGGTTTGGGGTTTAGGGTTCAGGGTTTAGGGTGGCTTACAGCTTTTAGCTCTTCTGCCTCTGAGGCTTGGAGTTTGCGGGTTCGCGCGCTCCTCTTTCGGAGTGAAGGGTTTAGGGTTTATGGTTTAGGGTTTAGGGTTTAGGGTTTAGGACCTACAGCGAAGGTTGCTGCACAAGTAACTGCGAGGAGTCAGGAACCCAATCTTTTGTGACTTCCCCCTACTCTCTTGCTGGAGTAGTACACGAAGAGCCTACTACCGCTTAGTGCAAGCCCTAAACGAGAAATAGACTCCAACCCTAAACCCTAAACCCTAAACCCTAAACCCTAAACCCTAAATCCATGTATCTACAGAACCAATGGAAAGGTCTCTCCATTCCCAATGCTCTTTCCATTCCCAATGCTCTTGTCTCGCTGCCAGCTCCTTTCTTTTCCAGGTGGGGGCTTTGGACTGCCGCATCGAAGAACATGACAATGACGCTTGCACCCTTGAGGCTTCATCTCCAAAGGGTTTAGGGTTTAGGGTTTAGGGTTTAGGGTTTAGGGTTTAGGGTTTAGGGTTTGGGGTTCAGGGTTTAGGGTTTGGGGTTTAGGGTTCAGGGTTTGGGGTTTGGGGTTTGGGGTTTCGGCCCTCTGAGACCTGAACCCCTTGAACCTCAATCGCATGCCTTTCTAGCGGGTCAAGCGTATGATGATGTTGGGATTTAAGGGTTACAGGCTGTAGCCCTCAAACCCTAAACCCTAAACCCTAAACCCTAAACCCTAAACCCTGAAGGCAGCACAAGAGAACGCTGAGTTGCCGCACGTGTCGTCAGAGTCGCTATCTGTGCTGTGAGCTCCTGTGCCCGATTCAGGGTTTAGGGCTCTGGGGGTTTAGGGTTTAGGGTTTAGGGATTAGGGTTAGGCGGTTTAGGGTTCAGGGTTTAGGGGTTTAGAGGCTTAGGAGTCTAGGGTTTAGAGGGGTGCCCAAAAGTCATACTAAGTAATTCAGATCCTTAACCCTACGCCCGCATCTTGCCATGACCATGTCACAACACGATTCAGTGGCCCACCTCCACCCGACAGTGGGACCAAACGCGAGGTTAGTAGTATCTGGAGACTCTGCTCTAGGAGTGGCGGCACCACAAACCCACACCCTAAACCCCGAACCCTGAACCCTAAACCCAAACCCTACACCCTTCAACCCGAAACACTAGACCCCAAACCCCAAACCCCAAATCACCCTAAAAACAAAAACATCCCTACAAACACTGCACTGCAAAACCCTAAACCCTAAACCCTAAAACCTAAACCCTAAACACCCCTAAAAAAAACCTAAGCCGGCCTTGCGTCGCAAGCACTGCGCCAAGCACCACCAGGATCAGAAGCACCGGCCTAAGCTCAAAGGAGGAGGGTTGGGGATTAGGGTTTTGGGATTAGGGTTTAGGGTTTTAAATTTGGGTTTAGGAGGTGGTCAAGGCTTACGAATTAGGGTTTAGGGCTTGGGATTTTGGAGTTTAGAGTTTAGTGTATGAGGTTCAGGGGTTTAGAGTTTGGGTTTAGGGTAGCAGGACCCCTTCTTGGTTGAGGTTCAAACCCTACACCCTAAATCCTAAACCCTAAACCCTAGATCAGATGCACCAGAAAGGTCAGAGGAAGATACCTGAAACTTGAGTGCTTTATCGGGGCTTTAGTTACCGACGTTCCGAAAATTCGGGTTGACGTGGTAGCCCAGTAACCATGTCATGATCAGGGTACCCTTTTATTTTTATAAATAGCTTGTTTTCTTTCTTTTTGCTTTGTTTTGTTTTGTTTTTTTTTTTTGGGGGGGGGGTGTTAACTCTTGGGAACCTAGAACTAACAGAGGGTGAAAGGGTACCACTGGGCTACCAACTTGAAGGGTTTTAGGGCTTCGGGTTTAGGGGGTACTTCTTTTTATGTTCATGTCTTTTTTGGGGGGAGGGATGGGGTGGGGGGACGACAAACAATTATTACGAAATTTTAAGCACCATCGGAAGATGGGTAGATGAGAAGGATTCTTGGTGCTTAATGTTCAGGGTTGTGGACTGATCCATGGCCTGGGGCGCCTAGGAGCCAGGTACACACTGCAGGGATCCCTCTCAACCATATAAACCCCGGGAATCAGGGGTAACAGCATCTTATTAAGTGTTGTTGTTTCTGCCTTTGCTATGGATATTGAGGCTTATGTATTTGTGCGTGCGTGCGTGTGTGTGTGTGTGGAATGTTTTTGTTTGGTTGCTGTTGTTTGGCGGGTTTCCTTGATGGGGACTTCTATGGTACAAAGCGGGACACTCCTGTTCGAGTAAGACTCAGGGCCGAGGGTTGCGTGATTCAAGTAAGACTGAGGGTTGCATCTGATTCTTTTTGGGCCATCAAACAACCTGCGGCAACGGCACATCGGTAACCTGTCTGACGATGCCACGGATGCAGAACTGGTTGTAGAAGTCGCCGTGGAGTACTTGAAGCCTGAACGCTTTCAATTCGCGAACAGGGCAATTGACTGCAACAGTCTGGCTGCATTTGATGGCAACCTTTTCTGAATCAAGAATTAAGTGCCATTGTGCACGATCTGAGGCTCCATATAGCTGAAACCGAACTCCTGCAGGTACGTCAGAACTGAATGTGAAGCCAGTGACGTAGACTGAGTAATATGGCACTCTCCAAGTGATCCAGCCCTTTGTGATGCGGAAGGCTTTCTCGTTGCGAGCATAGCGATCGAGAGGACCAGTGTTGTTGGCCAAGAAGAGATAATTGTCTGGAGAAAGCATCATGTTTACGTAAACCCCCAGGAATGGAAGCTTGTTCTCGTGCTCGATGGCTTCATAGTCCTTCCATGCATCGCCAAGCACATCGCCACTATGCCAGGGCTCGCTGTAAACACCATTTTGCAACTGCGTGATCTTTCTTGAGATAACGGGCTGCAGGCTGTCAGCCTCTGCAGATGAATCTTTCCTCTTCCTTCCTGTCCCCCAGCCTTCGAGGATACTAAGAAACTTCTTCCTCCCGATGCACACTAAACCTGACTCCAAGATCTCTTCCAGCAATTTGGGGCAGACCGCAGGGCGTTCCCTCAGAGCCTCCTCTGCGCAAATGAAGATCTTTCTCAGTGCCTCCAAACGTAAGGCGTCTGCCCGAAAACGGTCCGCGCATGCCAAGAGCTCGCAAGCGTTCTCCGCTCTCAAACCATTTCTGACAGCTTTGATGCAAAGCGCATGCAACTGCTCAACTTGGTACTTGTCAGCCATGGCGCTTAGCTCCACCAGGGTGAACAAAGGGCCTCGCACAATCCCGGAGTACCTTGGAGACCAAATGAACCCTAAAAGTGGTCTCATATAATTACCCTATACTAATTACTATAATTCCTATGAAGGTATATGACCCACGAATTGGGGTCATATACCCTGTACTACTACAAGTCCTCTTAGGGTATATGACCCATAAACCCTTTTCGGCTTCGCGTCATCCCCAAGGTACACGAAACGGAGGAAGGCTTCCACAGCAGGTGCGGAGAAGTCGCGAATGACGACCTGCGCGGTTCGAGCTTCTACGAACTCCTGAGCGTGGATGTTCTAGGGTGTTTGTGTTTTGTTCTGAATTTCTTCTTTTAGTGCTCCTTAGGTAGCTTTGGGGAGTTTCCAGGGCTCTTGGTGGGGTTTGGGGTTTATATAGGGATTGTTAATGAAGGGTTACAGACTGTACAGCCTACACAGCCTACACAGCCTACACACCCTATGCACTCTAATTCTACACCCTATACGCCCTGTAAACCCTAAACCCCAGTCCTTGGCATTGATCAGGTTGCTCAGAACTGGGGACCATTGGGCCAGCAGGATTGACCAAACCTTGAACTCAGTCCGCTGGTGGTCCGTCGCGTTCCCTCTCTAGGGGCGATGTGGACCACAAAAAACCCCTACACCCTAAACCCCCTTGAGGGTTTAGGGTTTAGGGTCGATCGCGTTACCTGTTTAGGGGCTATAATTGGCAGCAGATGGCCCTTTTCTACTACAAGTGACAAGAAAAACGAACCTAAGAACGTCGAGTTGGGATCATAATTACACCCTTTATACAAATCGGGGTTAAGGTTTAGGATTTCGGGTTTGGGGTTCGGGCGACCCTAAATAAACCTTATGATGGGCTGGGATCTACCCTTTCTACTACCATCATCATGACCCTTTTTGGGTTTCGTTTCGTCCGTAAGGTTGTTACGGTTAAGCCTAGGATGGCTACTGGTTCTCCTGCGCATATGATGGTACCAATAGGTGGTCGGATGGTGCCTCCTGCATCCTCCCGCGGCTCCTCCACAGCCACGGTGAAGTCGCCACCCAGACCGAAACAGTTCTTCAACGCTGCAGCCGCACTAGCCACGTCGGCTTCTTCCAGGGTCGACATCGCAGGGAGCTGCAGCGAGAATGGCACAAGTTTGAAAGCCGCTGCCAGCAGTCTGCTATGTTTTCGGGAACTAGAGGCGTCAGAAGAGCCACAAACAAAGCCAAGTCTGAAACAAACCCTAAACCCTGAACCCAAACCCTAAACCCTGAACCCTAAACCCTCAACCAAAATCCACGTTGCGATCTCCTGGACAACCAGGCTATTGACTGGGCTTGAGCACGAGCGGCGACGAGGGAGCCCTAAGACCGAAACCCTCGTTAACCGCCCCGGAAGCTTTACCGAAACAGCGACACCCCCAAACCTGTAACCCATAAAGCTCGAAACCGAACCCTAAACCCTAGTTAAGCCCTTGAACCCCTGAACTTACTCCCCAGGCCCCAACCCCAAAATTTTACTTAAGAACAACCAAAACACTAAAAGACCATAATCCCTATATTGCCCTGAACATTTGCATTATTTAGGTGGGGTTCTGAAGCAAACCTTCAACTCCCATCCCAAAACCCCCCAAACCCCCAAACCCCAAGCCCCCAAACCCCCCAAACCCCTCAACCCTAAACCCCGTGCGTGCGGCAGCCCCCACCCTCACCCCCGAGGCCAAAAAGGCCCCAAGGTCTTCAAGTCAAGATCGAAAGGAAACCCTAAACCCTAACCCTAAACCCTAAACCCCAAACCCTAAACCCGCAGGGTTTGTTTGGGGTGGAGGGTAGGAGGAGCAGGTGGAAAGAACGATTCGAGAGCTCAGCTCGGCTCTGGACTTGTGAATCCTGCAACTTGGGTTTAGGGTTTAGGGTTTAGGGTTTAGGGTTTAGGGTTTAGGGTTTAGGGTTTAGGGTTTAGGGTTTAGGGCTAAGGGGAGGGCAAAAACATATTTGAAAACCTTGAGGTGCTCTTGGCCCAGAGGAGTAGCTCCTTGCTGTACTTTTGATGCACCCGAAGCATTGGGCATTTTTGGCCCCTACAAACCCTAAACCCTAAGCCCTAAATTCCCTAAACCTAAATACCCTATACCCTAAACCCTGAAACCCTAAAACCCTAAACCCTGTCCTAAACCCTGAGCCGACTTCAATGGAAAACATGGGGCTAGCTCGGGGCCGCTTAGGCTACTATTGGCCGGTTCTTGGTAGGGAATGAGGGAATTAGGGCCCTATATGATCCCTTAGAGGGTATGTATGCGGCCCTCATTCCCTCTTCTTCCCTACTAAGAACCAGGGGGACAATAGAGTTTAGAGTTTGGGGTAGCTAGGGGTTCTATGTAGTGAGTAACAGGACTTCGGCTCCCTTTCCCGAGCACCCTAAACCCTAAACCCTAAATGTCTCTGGGCTCTGCGGCTGCAGGGCGTAGAGCACCCAGTTGTTGGCGTCGGTCGCCTGGACCTGACGGTGCCCAAAATCAGCCTCCAGCCTCACCCCTGATTATAGAGTTCTTAAGGGAGGGGGGTTCAAGGAGGGTATGCAACCCAAGGTTCCCTAATACTCCCCACTACTCCCCGAGGCTCCCTATCTTCCCTAAGGTTCCCTAGGTACCTACCCCCCATGAAACCCCCTCCCTTCAGAACCCCGTACTGTAACCTGAGGATTTTAAATTCCCCAACATCGGGATACACCATAGGCCATGTACCTATATATGCTAGGCGTTAGGTTTAGGGATTTCGATAGACCCCATAAACCCTAAACCCTAAAATCCCAGACCAAGGACCATAAACCTGAACCCTCACCCCCCCCCCCCCCCCCCCCCCCCCCAAAAAAAAAAAAAGAAAACAAGCATTTAAACCCCAAAGCCCTAAGCCCCCAGCCTAAACGCCCTAAATACCCTAAACCCTGAAGCCCACAACCCAAAACACCCAAAACCCTAAAACCCAAAAAGCTAAAACCCTAAAACCCGAAAACCCTAAAACCCTAAACACTAAAACCCTAAAACCCTAAACCCTAAAATCCTAAACCCTAAAACCCTAAACCCTAAACCCTAAAACCCTAAAACCCTAAAACCCTAAAACCCTAAAACCCTAAAACCCTAAAACCCTAAAACCCTAAAACCCTAAAACCCTAAAACCCTAAAACCCTAAAACCCTAAAACCCTAAACCCTAAAACCCTAAAATCCTAAACCCTAAAACCCTAAAACCCTAAACCCTAAACCCTAAAACCCTAAAACCCTAAAACCCTACAACCCTAAACCCCAAAACCACAAAATCCAAAACCCTAAGCCCTACACCCTATAGACCGTAAACCCTAAACCCCAAACCCGGCCTTTGGCGGCCGGGCCGTGGGCCCCGCGACAGCGGGGATCGGCGGCCCAGGCTCGGCCTTTGTAGGGTTTAGGGTATTTAGGGTTTAGGGTTTGGGGTTTGGGGTTTACGGTTTAGGGGGTTTAGGGTTTAGGGTTTGGGGTTTAGGGTTTGGGGTTTAGGGTTTGGGTTTAGGGTTTAGGATTTACGGTTTAGGGTTTAGGGTTCAGAAGCCCTCAGGCTTCTAGGTCCAGCTTCAGATTCCCCACACGTCTGGAGCCGAGTCTTACGTCAATTCGCTTAACACCTTTGCTTACAAAACAAGGGTTTAGGGTTTAGGGTTTAGGGTTTAGGGTTTAGGGTATAGGGTATAGGGTATAGGGTTTAGGGTTTAGGGTTTAGGGTTTAGGGTTTAGGGCCCAAACCATTTTTTTCCAAGGGAGTAGTCTACTACTTGGGTGGTCGAGAAAAAATCCCACCACCCATTCCTCCGAGGCGGAACCGGGATTACTTAGGGCTTAGGTTTTAGGGTGTAGGGCGTAGGGTTTAGGGTTTAGGGTGTAGGGTGAAAGGCAACGCTCCTCAACCCTCGACCCCCTCAACCCTCCCCCAACACATCTCATCTATTCTTGAGGGAGTCCAAAAGGTGCGAACTTGCTGGGGGAGGCCAAGATACTAAACCGAGCACAACATTAAACCACACACCTCTAAACCCTAAACCCTAAACCCTAAACCCTAAACCCAATGCCATTTGCCCTATATACCCTTTACCCTAAACCTTCAACCTCAACCCAAAAGTCCCAACCACGAGGCCATGACGCGGAGGACGGGTTTTGGCATCTTGGTCGTGGTCGGCGGCGGCGAGGTGCGGAGGACGGCTGCCAGTAGCCAGGGTTTGGGGTTTAAACCCTAAAACCCTAAGCCCTAAACCCTAAACCCTGAAACCCTAAACACAAACCCTATAAACAATTTTGGGGCTTAGGGGAGGGTTTTGTGAGGGGTTGGTAGGGCTTAGTGAGAGTGGCTCTTCGGGGTGCTGTGGGTGTTTGTCGAATTCTGCTTACTTCTGATCGGCTTCTTGGGGTTCCTAAGGGGGTAGGTGCCTAGAAAGCTTTCGGGAAGCTTAGGGAGCCTTAGGGAGTAGTGGGCACCATTGGGGCACCTTGGGTTGCCCTAAACCCTAAACCCTAAACCCTAAACCCTAAACCCGAAACCCTTTAAACCCTGAAACCCCCTTGAACCACCATCCCCTAAGAACCTAAACCCTAAAACCAAGAAAGAGGGTACCCTGCTCGGTTTACAGAGCCTTATAGGGGTACCTGGACCCTAAGAGGGTGGAATAAGGGCCAGAGCATCTGGGTCCTAGAAACGCTGCGTCAGAAGTCGACAGGCCTGCGATGGGCGTCGATGTGGACTCCACCTTGACCGTTGCGTGTAGGGCGCACACGTTGTTAAAGGCGTAGGGTGTGGGGAGTTTAGGACACGGGGCTAGTATTCTAAAGGCGTTGGAGCTTAGCAAGCCCTAATTAGGATTCAGTAGGGCCTATAACATGCTTGGGGTAGGTGGAGGTACTGGAGAATTTTTGAAGCTTCCGGCTTTTTGAGCCAGAGAGATGTAAGGCGTTCGGGGGGATCCCCGTTGAAGAACCCTTTCACAAAGTGAACCCTAAGCCTTAAAGCCTAAACCCCCACCTTAAAATAGCAGGAAGATGGAGCCCCGGCTGAACTTGGAGGTTCAGATAACCCCAACTATAACTGCACTTCTAAGCCGCGGTTATAAGCCCTAAACCCTATGCACTAAACCCTAGACCCTAAACCCATAATATTTAGGTTTATAAGTACCCATGAACCTCCAAGTAAGCCCCCGCAGTCCCATGTGCACCTTCGCCGCCGACAGGACGTCTGGCGTCGTGCTCCGGGTGCCTCTGAACAAGGGGAATGAACTAGGAACTAATCTAAACTAAACCCTAAACCCTAGACCCTAAACCTCCAACCCTATAAACCTTATAAACCCCTTAAGCGCTACAAGCGCTACAAACCCTACAAACCCTACAAAGCCTATAAACCCTCTGCACCCTGAACAATCCTATAAACCTATCAACCCTATGCCATACCCTAAGCCCCGTCGTGTGTTTAACGTACAGGAGGACCTTCATGGCTGTGGGGTTCAAGAAGGAGGAGGATGGAGAAACCCCCAACCCCAGCCCTCAAAGCGGGGTTCTCAAGCCCTAACCTTCCAGATGAGCCCTTCAATTTGACTTAAGCTTAACGGGAGGGTGGAGGTGCATCTCCCCTGAATATTTACTGCGAAGCCCGCAAGTTCTACTCGATAGAATCAAATTTAAGAAGCGGGACTTGCGTGCGGGTTGCAACTGCGAGCTTGCATGGAATGTGATCGGTTCAGGAGGCTGAGGCTCTTGGGACTAGGTGAATCCTTTGGTAAAGCTTGGGGCAAAAACCCCCTAAACCCTAAACCCTAAACCCTAAACCCTAAACCCTAAACCCTAAACCCTAAACCCTAAACCCTAGACCCTGGACCCTAGACCCTAAACCCTAAACCGCCTAAACCCTAAACCCTATACCTCATTCTACGAGTGTCCCCACGGTACACTCTGGACACCCCCCCCCCCCCCCCCCCCCGCCCCCCCACAGAACATATGACTTGGTAGCCCAATAACCATATTCTAATAAGGGCACCCTTTTTGTGTTGGCCATTTCATAAGGGAAACCAGAACCAAAAAAAAGTGTAAAGGGTACCGCGGGGCTACCAAGATGAG